GATATTATTTCCACAGTAGTTTCCCCCAACCGAACACAGAATTATAATACTGAAAATCTTTTCCAGACTCTGTGACCCTGTCTCCCAGAAGTACATTCTTTCCTGGGTGACAATCTCTGGTCAAAATCAATGGCATAAAAGCCAGGCAAGGTGGTGCCTGTAACCCAAGTATTCAGAGGACACAGGCAACCGGAGCCTCGCAGCAAAATGCAATTTCAAAAAACCTCAAAGGCAGGCATGGGGAGAGTCTTCAGCAGCTAAGAGGACTGGATGTTCTTGCACATCCTGGGATCAGTTCCCAGCACACATAGTATACCTCATGACCATCTGTAATTCCAGTTCTGAGGAATATGACACCCTCTGACTGCCCAGGGTGCCAGGCATGCTTGAGGGAGAACATATGTGCATACAGGAAAAACACCATAAAATAAATAAATCTTTAAAAAAGAAATTATAAGCATATACTTTAACAACCAATAATGTAATATCAAGACTAGAAGCAGGCATATCTTATGAAAAGAATGCATTTGTTATTAGTGAAGTATAGATAGTTTAAAAAAATCATAGTGTATCAGAAAAAAAACAACACTGAACTAAACCATTATATTTCCTGACATTCAAGTGCAAAACTTACGTGGTGTAGACATTTTTGCTAGGATGGGGGACACGACATCTTCCAATTGTTGTTTCTGCTCAAAAAGCTCACTGATGGAAGCTTCTGGATGGCTTTCTAACCACTCGTTTTTCAGACGGCATGCATTGAGGATGGCATTCTGGGGACAGAAATTGTGAATTCTACTTATTGATTGAAAAATGAGACTGCAGTATCTCTAGGATCAGAAGGAAAGCTTAGTGGTTAAAGGTGCTATCATCAAAGCTGGCAGCCTGAGGTTGATACCTGGAGCCCACACAGTGTAAGGGAGAACAGATTGACCCAAGCCGTCCTCTGACCGCAATACATGTGAGATGCGCATATGTGCACACACACACGCGCGCACACACACACACACATGCACGAACGTGTGCGCACACGCACAAGCACACACTCATACAAAATAAGTAAATGTCACATTGGTTTTACAAACTGGAGTGTCTCTAAGGCTATGCTCGCTATCTGACAGAAACTCATCCAATGCAGTAACCTTTAGGTATATTTAGCTCTTGAGTATTTGGAATCTGGCTAATGAGACTGAAGAACTAAATTCTAAATTATATTTAATTTTAGATAACTAAATTTGAGATAGCATTATGGCTTCCGGCTACTGAACCATCTCACAGTGGTAGAAGGAGAAGTCATGAAACTCACCACTCAGACTCAAGAAGCCTTAAACCAGTCTATTCTTTCTCCCTGATTCTCTGTTTTTATTGAGCCCTCTTGATGAAAAAGTGTAAAAGTTGACAAAGAATAGGTGGAGAGCAGGTCTGGAGAGATGGCTCAGTAGTTAAGAGCACTTTCTGTTCTTGTAGAGAACCTGAGTTCAGTTCCTAGAACTCACACGGCAGTTCACAACCATCCGTTAACTTCAGTTCCAGGAGATCCTATGCCCTCTTCTGGCCTCTACAGGTACTGCGCAGGCGTGGTACACACACATGCTGACAAACACTCACGTACATACAAACAAAGCTTTAGAAAGACGGCAGATGATATGAGCTACAGGAGAGTCAATAAGAATGGTATTTACTTCCTTTTAATGGTGTCTGGAGGAGGACGTTCCCAAAAAAAATCCCCATCTAATTACAGTGGCAGCACATTCCTGATGTCTGCTTCAAGACAGTTCTCACATGTGCCTTATACATACAGGCAGAATGTGTCAACCAAAAACTTTTTAAAGTAGAAAAGAGAAAGGTGTTTGGTAAGGTTTATAATAATGAATACAAATTGACAACCTGCTGATGTGTTCTTTCTGCAGTGCTGAATAATAAGCCTTAGTAGATACAGATGTATGTGAAAAAAATCAGATTCATGGACATGTCCATAAGATACCAGGGAAGGGAAAAAGCAAGCTAATAATAATACTAACCGATACAGTAGGATCCCACTTTTATAGTAAAAAGATCTCCCTGACAAGCCTGTATCTGTATTTACATAAGTAAAAGGGGAAAGATGATGAAATCTCAATACTGTTATCAGAACTCCAAGGTAGTAAGACCAAAAGTGAAAGGGGCGTTAAGTTTGTTCTAGATGCTTTCATTTTCTTCTAATTAATGGTGTGTGCCTATTACATTTTGTATTATAATAAAAGGCTTTTCTAGTATCAGGTGACAGACAAAGCACCGTCCCTTCATAATGAGAACCCTGTAAACTCCAGGTCCAACAGCCCTAACACCTGCTCTAATTGAATGATTGAATGTTTTCTGTGTTTTCTTGCACAGGAAATTTTGTAAAGTCATTTATGAATATACTAGTCTGACATGTGCCTTAGTGAGATTTGCTGGTGCCCCTTGAGGAGCAGCTAACTGTATTTCATCAAATAACGTCAGAATCAATTCTCAGGGATCCTATACGGCAACACAGAGAACAATTTAAAGCCAATGCACTAATCTAATACCCAGAACAGATTTAGTTTTTAAACACAGGGTCATGTTATGTAGCTCTGACTGGACTGGTTCTCAGGGTGTAATCAAACTTGCCTAGAACTAAAGGTAATCCTCCTGACTCAGCTTCCCAAATGATGCAACACAGGCGTATGCCACTATGCCCAGCTTAATGGGCACAATTTTAATGTATCTCTAATCATTATTTTTAACTTTACAATTTTTTTTACTTTTCATTATGGAAAATTTGTACATGTAATATATACATATGCATATATACTAAAGTATTCTGTGTATATTTATGTAGTATACACAAATGCAAACATACTAAAATGTATCATGTATGTTTTAACGTGTGAAGCAAAATTTAGAATTGAATATCAGAGGAGCACAGTACTCCAACAGAAGAATGGAAAGTTAGCAGCTCCTCACCTCTCAGAACCTGCCCCCGGGGACAGATCCATGATCCATGCTTCTCCCTTTGTAACAGTTTTACTGTTAAAACAAGTATCTGATGACATGCTTTGGGAGGGTTGGCTTTATAAAAATCTTTGCAGGTTTGGGTTTGTTTTTCCAAATGTTCACTCAACACATTTCTGACTTTCATCTACGTGGTCAGGTGTGATATTCTGAACATCAACATCATTTACTTTTTATCATTTCATCTCTTATCAGAAACTTACTAAAGAAGGGAGGGGGAAAGAAAGGAAGGAGAAAGGAGAACCATCTACCTCTAGAACATCAGAACAGGAAATAATCACAACACAGTACCTTGTCTTCCTTGAGGAGTTTCCCTGGTCCCTTTTCTGGGTCAGTAATGATGAGAGAGGACTTTGTAATAATTTTTTTCAGAATCAGCCTTGCATCTGAAAGGACAGGACAAAAAATAATAATAATAAGACAAAAACAAAGAGCAGGCCAACCTGTTTGTGGAGTTCATCACACAGCCAGAACTCAATGAGGTTTGCGTAGAAGGTTCACTGTCAATGTCTGAGGAACACAGAAAATCAGCACTCAGGTGTGGTTCCAAGTTCCGCTACCTCCCTCAGGGTATCCAGGCACCAGTCCACACCAGCCTAGAATGGGTGGGTCCGGCAGGATCCCAGTCTAACTGTGGGGGGGGTCAGGGGGAGAAGGCCTTCTCCAAGGATTGTAGTGTTGCAGCTCTTTTAGACGGCACTCAGTTAAACAGCTCTCTTAGACAATCTGGAGTGAAACAGCTGGTGCACATACACTTTATTTCAGGGTGAATGTAACCCATTCGCTAGGGCTTGACGTACTGGGAATGCCTCATTTGCATGGAGCATCCCAAGAGTCCCAGGCACTTGCTGGGCAGATTCTTAATGGGAAAAGATGAGGGTAAACCTGTAGGTTTGCCAAGGACTACATGACCTTCCTCAGGTAGAGGATGCTGGGGTCAGACTTCCCAGACAAGGTCACGCAGAAAAGGTGAAGCCTTGCTGGAAAAGAGAGTTCTCCATTTTGTGCTGAGCTCAGAGGAGCTATCTGGACATGGTAGACTGCCATCTTAAATAGCAGGATTTCCCAACACCCAGGGACACACCACTTCAGCACACCCAGTGTGTTCCTAGAATTATAATAGGTTTTTTTGAAGAACCAAAGAAATACAAAACATAACACTGGATCCCATAAACCACATCTGTCAAAATGTTCACTCTGAAGAAAAGAGCAACAACAGAGAAATATTTCCAGTAGGCAGATTTAATGTGCTTTTCTTGAGCTTTCAAACACTCATGCATATACACACACTCCAGAAGACCTGCTTAAAAGTACACTTCGCTGAGAGAAATAAAAACCTGAAATAAATGGGAGGGCTTACTGGATTCTTAGAACAACTGAATGCTAGAAATTGTAGAGTGGTCCCAAATTACATTAGACATGTTAAAGTACTTTCCCTCAATTTATCCCTTTCCTTTCCCATTTCACTATAGACAGCAAGAAAAGAACCAGCTATGCTTTCAACATTTTTCTTGGAAATGTCATCTAAGGATCCAAGCTTTCTGCCTGAGTCTGCTTTTTGGATGGTAGGGTCCAAAACAGCCAATCTTTCCACTGACCCACTGCAAGACAACACTACCTTTTGAGGGTCTGTTCATTTTGGGTTTTTCCCCCATGGGGTTTCATTATTATGATTGCATACCTACTGTTAAACACTCTTTAGTCAACTAGCAAATAGTTCATTTTCAAGAAACCTAGGGTGATTAGCTGAGTACACCTTTTCATCCCAGTGCATTTCTTAATGATGTCACTGAAGTTACCCTGAGTCACTATGGTTGACGATGTAACAATGCCTGTCACTGGGTCTTTTGCTGGGTGTGAGGGCTGACTAGCAGGATTATCTGAACGGCTTTGACGGGAGCACCACTTTAGTGCTTGAGGCATCTTTTGCTCTGTCTGACCAATTTTTTAGCTCAAGATTTTCTTCTCAGCTAAGACAAAAAAAGATGTCTACCCAAAGACTATCTGTGCTTTCTCCCCTCCTGTTCTTCTGCTTCTTCAGAGAGAGTTTCTCCATTTGTGACGGAACCACCTGGACAAAGGTCGGATGGGAGATTTTCCCAGAAGAAGTTCACTACCTGAAAGTTAAGGTTCCCCCATCCCACTGCCTACCTTATCCTCTGGACAAACTCTGCTGCAACTTTGCTAACATGGACCTATTACAGAGTTCCTTACACCTCACTTATATCTTAGTACAAGCTCTCTTCTTAATCCTGTTTGCTTTATCTGTGCATTACCTATGGATGAAATGGACAAGACACCAAAAAAAGGTGAATTTGTGATGCAAATAGGACGATTTATAGAATCTCAAAGAGTGCACAGCCCAATCCAGGTCTCTGAAGCTATCCATCTCCTCTGCCTGCCTTCCTTGCTCCCCACCCACCCCACCACCATCATCTAGCCACGACATTCACACGGTTAAGAGTTCCATAGATGAATGTTTAATCAGAGGGTCCTTAAAACCATCTCCTCAAACTCCTACTTCAAGTTACAAAACGCAACAATTAAGATGCGGTAGGTAGGATTAGAGGAGTGAGGTAAGTCATGTGCTCTTTCTCAGCCTTCCCATAAAATGATCTGAAACAAGGGACCTCTTGGAGAACCTGTGAGTCTATCAAAGAGAGCTCACTACAAAAGGTGGCATGAGCTTCCCAAGCAGGCTGTAGACTGATTTTTAAATGTTAGGACTTAGTGGGAAACAGGGCACTTAATTCCAAATTTTGCCAATAGATGGTGCTATAATTTGAGAGAATTAAGAACTCCATTAAATACATGAGCACACACACCTCCTTGACCATCAGAGTGACCTAGATATATGTTTTCTTGTTTTTAAAATGTGTACTTATTATACAGTAATGTTGCTTAGTAAGGGAAAATTTTTTCTTCTACTTATTTGTTTGCTTCTGGAATTAAACCCAGGCCCTCCTACATACTAAGCAAGTTCCCTACAACACACTGAGCTATATCCCCAACCCCTAACCACAGTCTTAAGGGCTCATTTTATGCTCCAGATACTGCTGAGTGCTTTCATTCAGATTAACCTGCCAGGAACCACACACTTAAAGAAAATTAACTCCCCCTTCCCTTGAAGTTGTCAACTGTGTAAAACTACTCATTTAGGAGTAATGACTTATGAATCCCTTCCCACTCCATGCTAGCATGAAACTGGCTTGATCTTGTATAGATCGTGTACAAGCAATCACAAGTGCTGTTAAGTTCATCAGTGCAGAATTCCTGTCACAGTCAGAAGATACTGTTTTTTGCTCTGGTCCTCCCTGACCTCTGGCTCTTTCAGACTCCCTGCCCTGTCTTCCATGATGCCTGAGGGGAGGTGGCATGATATAGATGTCCCATTTATGTCTGGGCATGACACAATCTCTGCACTTTGACTAGCTGCAAGTTTTTGCATGAACCATCACAAAGAGACTTCTCTGATGAGGTCAGAGAGTTGAACTAAGTATAGAGAGAGACACAAATTTAGAGCGCAGTTTGGTATTATGCCCATTTAGCAAGATAACATTAGCAGATTTATCAATGAGATCTGTGAGCTCCTCAACCGTGAGTTCTTGGCCAGATCTATAGTACTAAGCACGTGTTCCTCTTGTGGAGCAGGTCTTAAATCCAATCAGAAGGCAGTTGTTTACCCTTGTTATACACATGCCATGATTGTACCCACGGACACATTTTACCATGTTAGTCATTACTGCAGTTCACTGGGCTCACAGCTCAGTAGGACCAGAGCAGCTCTCTCTAATACTGAGAGGGCTAGCAGCAGGGAGGAGAGCATCTGTCCATAGCGATTCAATTTCTCCATGTCCTGAAGGAAAACATTTTGTTTACACCCTAACTTCTCTTGGCAAAATGCTTAGACAAGACTAACCAATGTTTGCCTGTGATGACGACGATCCAGTCTAGTCTTGTGTTTGTACATTGAAGAAGAGCATCCTGTCTTCACTTGGGCCTTCTATAGCAACCTCCCTGTTCGGCATAAATATGTGATGTATACATCTTAGTGGCATTTGGATGAGTTTGTTTATCCAGAATGTAAGTTTAATCACTTGTTCTGCTCTTTCAGCTGAAAAAGCAAGCCTCTTTAGAGAAACATGCTAACGACCGTGACCTGAGCCCATCCATCTATGACATTGAACAAATACTCTGCAGACTACTGGCCACAACATCAATGATGACCAAGTTCCTGAAGCAGGTGTCTCACCATTCTTCTGTTAAAAAAGTTAAGCAACAACGTAAATTAAGGAGGAAGAAGAGTAAAGGAGTAGAGGAGCAAAAGAACACTACTAACCCTAAGCACATGCATATGTAGCTTGGTCAAGTGCAGAGAGTACAAAAGAAATGTATTGCAAGGACTATCTGAGGATACAAAGGTTTCTTTGGGGGCTTGCTTTTTTTGTGTGTGTGCCACAATCATTACTGAAAAATTTTCAGACGAGTCTGGGTTTCTGTTCAACTGAAAAAGAATCCACACTTACTAACGTGGTTCCCAGAATAAACTGAGAACAGCTTAACTGGCTCTTCAGGGTATCATCTGGTGGTAACTATAGCAACAGCATTTTTTTTTCAGCCTGACCACATGACAGGTAGTTGCTATGTGCTTTGCACTGTATCATTTAGTTTTCACAAGTCTCAAGAGGAAGGAACTATTATCAGCCCCTCTTATCAGAAAAGGAAACCAGGGTATGAACAATTGAAGTACTCTGCTCAAGTTTATGTAGTATTCAAACCCAGGCATCCTCCAGAGACCCTGTATTTATCTCTTCTTTATGGAAGCTATTGCATTATTGAGCCCAGTAAAAGGATCTTGTCACTGTCCCCTAACATGTTCCTTTCACTCTCAGATCTCATGTTTTGCTTATGCTCTTTGCTCTGCTACTGTGTATTCAAATCCTGTTCATTTTACAAGGTCCAGTTGAACCCCAATAAGCTTTCTTCCTGTTCTCTGACTAGCCCAGGGCATGAACTGCCTTTCCTGCTAATTACTAACTTCACCCTTTCTTTCTCTTAATGTTCACATCTTTCTGATACTGTTAGATAATTACCAACTGATCTCCTAAAGAAAATGACCAGAAGGAAGAAACCACCATTGCTGTATGCCATGCCTGCAGTGATATTAGCGTACTTAGTGGTGGCATGGCATACAAGCCTGCTAAGCACAGTGATGCAGACAGCCATACGAAATGGTTGAATTTTAAATTCTATTCGCGCACACAGCAAAGTACACAGTTACATATTCCTAAAGTCTCTTCAAGCTATAGTCTACAGATCTGGGGAATGAGAGAAAAATGTTAACAAAATTCAAGGTAGTACATGTATTTTTTTAAATAGAATATCCATAAAAGATATGAAAACTTTTAAGTGTATATCTCAATGAACTTTCATAAGTAAAATATCCATGTGACCAGCAATCAAATTGAGAGAAAAATGACAGGAGGTCTCAGAAGGCCTGCCATGCTATAGGGTAATTATGATTTGGGTTACTAATACCATAGCTTAACTTTATTTTTAATTTTCAATAACAAATTTTCTTTCCGGGGGGATCAAATATATTACTGAAATATGCTAATATTTAAACATGTAAGGAATAGTATACTTTGCTTGGGTCTTTCAGAAAACAACCTTGAACATATATTGTATGTAGAGTCCCATGGAAATTTGTTGCTTGAATTGTTAGAAATTGGTAAATCAACAAGATACACACACACACACACACACACACACACACACACACACACGGTGGGGGGGAGGGGGAGAAAGAGAGAGAGAGAATATTACAATTATGGTCAATAGCAAAGTAAAAGAGAAAAGAAAAAATGAAAGCAAGCTTTATATACTATTGACAATAGAAAATACATCATCTAGCTGGAAGGTGGAGATGTCACTCATACCATTCCATGGGCTCAATCATCTTCATATCACATGTGCTCCTTACCCGCCCAGTCCAGAAAATGAACACATTCAATCTGAGAATAGCGAGCAGCAACATCTCGAGCTTTCTCTCCTCGGAAGTTCAAAGCTTCTATATCAACATCCAGTTCCACCAGGGCCTTCAAAGTTTCCAAACGGCCCCAGGCTGCAGCGCAGTGTAAGATGGTGTACCCTAACAGAGAGTAAAGTTGGCTGGGTCAAACAGACTTGGGATGGCTTGACAGGAGTTTTAAAACGCACTTAAAACTTTGATGCTCAGTCTTTCCCGAGGCTAGTAATATGTGTTCCGATACTCAGTAACGATGCTGAACAGCAACAGTGGGCAGAAGCTCCCAGGCACCCAGGGAACCACAGGAATCAACTGCCCCCAGGCATGCTCTCTGGTGTACAGCGCTGCTGCGCTATGATGAACAGGCTAGCTACGTTAAATGCATGCTTCCACTTACAGTACTTTATAATGGGTCCACGGGGTCATCACTTCATCATAAGTCAAGGTACATCTGTGTGTTATTCCAGACTATTTTATGTAGCAGAGCATAAACACAATCAGTACTGAACGATTACTAAGAGCCAGGCACTCAGTGTTCTACATAGTAAACTCATTGAATTTTACAAACCCTATAGCATCAGAATTCTTATAATCCTCATCTTACAGACAAGGAAACAAAAACTCAGAGATGTTAAGAAACTTGCCTCAAGGAACACAGCCAGTAATGATGGATGCAAGATACCAACACGGGCAGCCTGACTCCTGAGTCCCTCCACGTCTGCTAAGAATGACGGCAACCTGCACTTCGGAACAATCAGCCTATGGTCTTAAGGAATTTTCATCAAACTCTAATTACCCTTCCTTTATTGTTAACACAATCATAAAAATCACTATAGCTGTGTATGCTTTGGTTTGGAAATTAATCTTTGAATTAAAGCTGAAGTATGGCTTACCACATTAAAAAGTCATTTCTTAGACTTCCTGAGATGTAACTGTCAAGGCAGAAACATGGGATGCATTGTCAAGAGTTTTTCACACTGAGTTTTATAAAAATCAAAGATGATAGTTTTACTGTTTGGAGAGGCCTCAGTTAACCTGGGAGCCAGGGCTGAGGGCACAGCCCCATGGCAGGGCATAGCTTTTGCCTAACAGGTACAAGATTCTGGGTTCAAGAAAGCAATTAAAAATGATCTAAAATGGGGTTCCAACACCAAAGATTCTAGCAGCCCTTACCAGAAGACCTTAGGAGTGGGGCTCATCCTGTGCCTTTCACAAGTCCCGTGCCTTGCCCAATGCACAACCAGGAAGTCTCTCACAGAGGAAACGTGCACACTGGTGGGTGACCTGGGGGCTCTCATCTGACTCATATCCAGTGTGTACCTGGCCCATACTTGTCTTAAGAACCCAACCTTGCTTTCTCAACACTTCCCGGAAAGCCCTGGCTTTAGGTAGCCTCTGGTTTGTCAGCTATAGAAGCTGCAAATTGGCACCTGTACATTAATGGGGAAATGGTTAAATGTCTGGAACCTGGCTGAGGGAAAGTGTGAGTCAGTCCTTTGTTCCCAGGTCACTCAAAGGAGAAAGGAAGTGTGGCAACTAGTGGCATACTCAGGAAAATAGATTGCAACTTTAAATTTGTGGCAAATTCCAAAATGGCCCCAAAATAGTAAAAAAAAAAAAACACATGCATTCACGATCACAAGTGTACACACATGCACACACACACACGCACATGCATGCATGCTGGCAGAGGAGATGCTACTAAGTTCTTATCTCTGACCAAGAGCCTGGGCCATTTGGATGTGATGTATACCTGGTATCAAAGGTGAGTGAGACATGCTTTGGGTATGAGAAATTTCAAGAGGTGCTGAGTCAATATAAATTGTAATAATTCACTACATGTACTCCTAAGAATTATGGGTACTTATGACTCCTTTAAACATCCAAAGAGACAAAAAGAACTGAGCAATAATTACTGTGTTGAAACTATTATGTACCAGGACTTTGTGTGTCCTTCATTTAATTACTGCAATAGCCCTAGGAGGAAGGTATTAGCCTCATTACAGTATATAACAGAAAGTGAAGGTCAATGAGTCCATACCTTTCCCAAGGTTGCACTGGCTGTAGGCAACCAAAGTAAGATTAAAACCTGGATATGTTTCTATTAAGAGTTTACGAAGAAAAGAAACACCTATGTGCTAATCTCTGGCTGAACTAGGAAAAAAGACGACACAATTTATCTCTAATTGTCCAGGAAACCCCATAGCTCCCTACCCACCCCAGTGCACAGCCCTGGGCCCACCTGAGATCAACTTGTAAACCATTGTGACCAGAAGGGATAATGAAATGTTAATAAAGAATCCAAAGTGACCTGGTCTATATCATGAGTTTCAGGACAGCCACAGGTCCATAGATCTTTTCAATCAATAAACAAACAAACAAACAAAATAGTTTCAAAAATAAAACATTGACTGAAAGCCACTCGGTAAATTTAAAACCTGTAATCTTTGATAGACAGCCTTTTAAAAGATTTATTATAATACTGTCTCCCGAAAAATTTACATCATGAATTTCTTTCAAATGACATTTATTAACATGCTCACATTTTGCTTACTTCAATTTTTTTTTCTGAGACAAGTTCTCATGTAGTCCAGGCTGACCCCAACTCCTTAAGCAGCTTAGCCAACGCCCTTGAACTTCTGATATTCTTCTTCTCCTTTGTACTGCAATTCTAGGCATGTAGCACTGCACCTGCGTTATGCAGCTCTGGGGCTCACACCCAGGGTCTTGCACAAGTTGGACCAGCTGAGCTACATCCCAGCCCCGGCTTGCTTGACCTTTCAGTATAGGGAATTACACTAGTCTTTTCTAGTATTATAACCACCGGTTAGTCATGGCATAAGCACAGCTGACTGGTAAGTTTGGCCTTAATGAAAATGAGTTTAACTATTTTAATTTAAAAATTAAAATCTTTTGAAATGGCTGTGTAAAGTATAAAGCAGGTCTATCAAAGTTATCCAATCATAAAGACAGCAAGGAGCATCTTTAGGTAGTCACAAGTAATACTGGAAGAAGATGAATTACCTCTGGCAGTTTTCTCATTCAGATTCACCCCATATTTCGCCAAGGCTCTAATTACGTCACTTTTGCCAGCCATGCAAGCTGCATACAACAGATTTCTCCCAACAGTGTCTTCTTCCAAAAGCAGCTGCATGGCGTGCTCATGGTGAGGATTTTCAGGATCCTCAAAAATCTTCTGCAAACCTTCTACATCCCCTGTGAGAGCAGGCTGCAGAAGGGGATTCTCAGCGCCTGCTTCATCTGCTTCTTGGGATTCTTCATATTCTTGCTGAGAGGAAAATAGTGACTTTTCTGAACTCTCTGATTCTAGA